ATTTAAAATTTATGAATTCTTTATTTCTGGACTTTTCCATTTAACATTTTTGGGCTGCAGGTAACTAAAATCATGGAAAGTGAAACTGGGGATAAAGGTGGACTACTGTATTTCTAACTAGGCGACTCTCCTGTGAGGAGCGGCTCAAGGGACCATACTTCTCCTCCCTAATTCCTGTGTGATCCCCTCGTTCCTTGGAAGCCCTGGCTGTATCTTCTGCATGTGGCCAGTAGATGAGGGGGAAAACGGAGGATTTCACAAGATGTGATTTAGGGCAATCCTGGAAATGACATTACTTTGACCCAAAATGCCATTCTCGGCCATACCTGTTGCAAAGGAGGTTGGAAAATGTAGTCCGGGTGTGTGCCCAGGAGGGAAAGGACATGGTTTGGTAAGTCAGTTAGTTCAACCTGACACAGGTACTGAGGTTCATGATAATTACAAGTCACTGCTGAAAAAAAGTTTAAATTATTTTTAATATTTGCTATGTAAGGACAAACATCACGGGTGGGCCTTGTTCTACAGGAACACACCCTTTCTATTTTTGTTTTCATTTTCCCTAAGATCAAACCTACATCCCCAGCTAACACAATAAACTGAAAATCCCTTGCTGTATCAGCTGAAGTGCATAATGCGTGCAAAGATGTCAATTACTCTTTTATTGAATTGGCAGAATGTGAAAACAGATGATACTGGTCTCCTGTTTCTGTCCACAAAGAGCAGTAAATATTAGAGACTGCATGAGAGATATGTGACTTAAAGGCATAGAAACTAATTGCTACAAGTGTGAAAGCTCTGGAAGGAGGAAACTACAGTAATACCTTGGTTTGCGAGCATAATTGCAAGCAAAACAAACTACTTGTATTTCAAGACATCGCTCGTTTACCACGTTAAAATGTATTAGAAATGTTTGCTTGTCTTGCAGAACACTCACAAGCCATGTTACTCGCAATCCAAGGTTTTACTGTATTAATAATTCTCCCATGTATTTTTTTTTCAACAAAGGGACTGGTAAAACCCTGACAGTTGGAGTTATCAGGCATATGCTTAGGAACTAGAATGGATGGTCTCTAGACTGTAGCAAAACCAGGTTTCATCTCTTGAAAAGGTAACTGGTATCCTTCCTATCTCTTTTCCCAATTCTCTCCACAATGGAGAGAGCTGAAAGGCGGAGGAGAAGGGGGAGTGGCTTGGCTGATACGTGACTACAGAACACTAGACACATACAAGTGTTTCTTTCCTGGACCTGTGGGAATGTAGGGAGCTTGCAGAGCCCTGGAAAATGGATTTAGAGAGGTCTGTAATTTCTGAGCAGAGTGCCCAAATAAGGAAGAAGAAAAGATTTTTGTAATTATGGAGAAGTGAAGTGTAAATGGGTTAAGAAAATCAACTTAAGGTCTTGCCTGAACAATTGACTGAGACACTGCTCACAGCTGGCTTTTACCTGCTTTCCAAAGTATAGCGGGACTTCACTGTAAGGGGCAGAGATTGGTGAGCCTTTTCCATTGATGGCACGGCATGAATTTAAGGTTCGCTCAAACTCACTACTAAAACATGTAAAAACATAAGTAGAAGAAAAAAGCCCAAGGTCTTCACTGGAAACATTGTTATACAATTTCACAAAAGAGACACATACACAGAGGGTGCCAAAAAAATGAATACACATTTAAAGAAAGAAAAAATTAAAATTACGCTGATGGTAACCACGTTGAGCACCTCTTGTAACTGCAGAAGTAAAAAACGTGACTTGTATTCATCTTTTCTTATCGGTATATATTATTACAATTTTAATAGTTTTTTTCCTTTCTTAAAATAGGTATACATTTTTTTGGCACCCTCTGTATATTAAATAGTATTCCTTATAAGTAAGAAATCTTCTTTTATATAATACTTGTCCTCTGACTCAAATTCCACTTTGTGCACTGAACCACTAATAGAAAGTCATTTCCCTACTGAATTTTTCACTGAAAGCACAAAGTTGGGCTAGATTCATCTCCTCCAAAGTTGGACTAAATCCACATCTTCCCATTCCTATCAAATTATGGCACTTGCTATATCGTAGTAAAGGTATTTTTACATTTCACCCTTCCTCCCTAAGCTCTATGCATGTAGGTCCTTCATTTTTACATTCCCAGTACTTCACACGTGACCTGGCACAAGACAAACAATAAATATTTTTGGTATTCGATGGAACTGAGTTACCCTTCCCTTCAGATTCTGTTAATGTACAAACACTCTTAGCAGCAGTAACACATTAAGTTAGTCCCACCCTAACATTTGCAACAGCAAGAGCACAAATGCAGGCCCACATGCCTAAGACAGAAATACTTATGATTTCTAAATAACACTAATAAACTGTTATATAAAATGTGTTGTATCTTCTATCTCAAATAAGCTTACTTTCACATCAATGTGATAAAACATTGTATTTTTTAATATGCTGAAAGTTGGCAAAATATCAAAGGTAACACAATTTTAGTATCAATATACATATTTGGGTATTCTGTTCTGGGTGGCAATGTTTGGGTTTTCAAGATATAAATAAGTCATAAATTATTATATTTTTATTTTAGAAAATGTATATTTTCACCTTTATTTCAGCAAAATTACTAATTGTGCAATTATAAAACATTTCAAATATAAAATATTTCAAATATTGCATAGTTATAAAATATTTCATTGTTCTATTTACAGTGGTGCCAAATAATACAACCTTCCCCAAGGCACATGATCTCTATTCTGTTTCATCTTTTCCTGTTTAAAAAATTTAAGAACACCTTATCTTTGAACTTTTTTCTATTTTCAGCCTTTCTTTTTCCTGAGGTCCACTTACATTTTTTTCTATCCAATCTCAGTTTACACACATTCTTAATATTTAAAGGATTAAAAAGAGTTATTGTATTCAAAATAGACATTTAACTATGATTTAAAAAGATGTAATTTGAAATAAAATATAAATACAAAAATTAAAATTTTAAATGACTTCTGTGTGCTTTTAGATATACTTCATGTATAATTTTCAGAAAGTTATTTCCTTCTAAAATATTCAAAAAAGCAGTTATTAAAATGAGGACAAAATTCAAGTTGTTATTTTGTATAAACTTTTGTGTAAATCATTTGTCTAAGGCTAAAGTTTAATGAGTTAAATCTCAATCTAAATTTCAGAAATAAAACTATGACAATCCTGGCATTTAATAGTTAGCAGAGAATCAATGTCAGGCTTTATGTATATTATATCTAGAACTACCCATAAACAAAGTTTGAGAGTAATATGAGTCATTTAATATTCATAATATTCCTAGCCAGCATGTGCACCTGTTCTGCATACTGCATTGATTCCTGAGTGCCTTCAAATGCATGAATTAAAACCAAAGAAAATGAGTGTTAATACTTGAAAATAATACTTTGTTATGTAAAAATCTGTTGAACTTATGCTATCTAGACAAAGAACCTGATGAGTTAGTTTGCCCTTTTTCTTACCTAAATGCTTCCATAGCTCAAAGTCCTTCTCATACCCCAAAGAGATGTCTGTTTCTCTTGTCAGTAACGGGCAAGCCCCAAATCTTTGTCACATTTGGACACAGTCACCTTTTGTTTCTAGGATACTACTGAAAAGGATAGTCCAAACTGTCCCTCTGGGGCTTAGAGGGTGTTAATCAAAAGTACATGAGGTGTGAGTCGCAAGAGCAGATGCTGAGAGTTCCGACTTGCTCTGTGCCAGCCCCAAGTGACAGGGAATCCCACAAGCTATTTAATTTTTCAGCTTGTATTTGTGATAAGTGGAGCCCTCTTAATATGTGGGTCCTAGGGCAGGGGTCTTCTCTTGTCTGGGTTTCAGGGTTGTGTTACATTAAATTCCTACCTGCGAGTTTATCAAACAAATGATTCTTCTTAGGGTGTGGAAGGACACTAGACATCATATGAGAAAGGAGCAGGAGAGAGCCAACACTGATCATTCTTTAGATAATTTGAAAATGCTCTGTTTGGGGTGGTGTTATTCTTGTACTTATTTGGATTTAAGTCCCTCTGTCATCAGGTTTTGGGAAGCAAGAATGCCTTCTATTTATAACAACCTAATTGCTTCAATAAAAGTATAGGATGTTTCCACCATAAATCAAAGCCCTTGGCTTGAAAGAGATTCACAGACCTCAACCAGAGCTTTTCAGCGGGCACTTTCAACCTCAGTATAGTTAGGAATATTTTTGATTTGGTTTTGTCTATACTTGTAGTTACAATTGGCCAAGGTATTAATGTTGGGGGTGAGGGGAGCAGGGATAAATATATTTAGTGATATTATTATTTGTATCTATTTTCCAGTACTATATGTCCAGATCAAAATAACAGTTTTAAGCTATACTTTCTGAGCAAGGGAGAAGAAAAGTCACATATTAGGAAATCCTGCTAAAGAAATGTCAAAAAAGCCACAGGGTGTAAAATAATTTTAGCTGAACTTAAAAGTGAGGAAGAAATCCTCTGGCTTAGAATTTAGATATAGTTCCTCTCCTTTTCAACGATCTGAATTTTTTAAGTGTTAAATATCCAGGATGGAAATGTGATCTACTCATTGACATTTCCAGTATTAATCGGGGATTATGCCTCCGAGTTTGATTCATGTTTTATTCATGCTTAGAGTTTTCATTCTTTCTGCCACTTTGCATCAGGCTAAAAGTAGTCAAATATGAAAGCTTACACATAAATAGAAAACTTTTGTGTGTTATTACTCTTTAACGGCATCAGAAGTCTCACCTTTTCCAGGAAGGCACATTAGAACATTCAAGTTATTATCCATTACTGCTTGACCTATTCCACATAGGACCTATAATGATAACGATTTTTTTGCATTTTATAAAATTTCAGGTCCATCTTTAGATTCACTTTGCCTTTATATCAAATATAATATTTTCTTCCTTTTTGAAGTAATACTAATAAAAGTAGATTGGACCACAGCAGCGTTGTTGGCAAACCAAACTTTATTAAGTGTTTGATTTTATCTGTTACAGAACATGAAAAGCAGCGGTTATGCAAGAGCACCGATTATATGAATTTGCATTTCAAAGTGAAATGGTTTTATAATGAATATGTGAGAGAACTTCCTGCCTTCAAGGATGCTGTTCCTGAATACTCCTTGTAAGTAGTGCTTTTCAACCCCAAGTTTATTCTCAATTCAAAGTCCCGTAAAATTACACCTGAATTATGCAGCCCTAAAATCCCTTCACATAGTCGTCATTTGAATGTAGACATTTCTATTATAAAATTAATATTAAAATTTTTGCATGTCTTTGGGAACTATATTTAATTAAATTGTGTTGCATTTTTCAAGTATGTGTCACTTAGATAGTCAACATAAAGAAAAAGAAATACATAATAGGATATGGCTTACATGATGAGATTACATTCTGTAAAAGTGCTCAAACTCAGGTTTTGTTGGGAAAATGAGGATGCTTGTATAGTGAGCTACATAATCAGCTTTTTTTCCCCTTAATTAAAACTGAAAAATGTCTTAGAATTTGTATTTCTAAAGTCGGAGTCAGGTAACACTTTCATAAACATATCTCTATCAAATACATATGTAGTCACACAATCAGACTTGTAATACTCAGCTTTTGATATTTCCCAGAATTCTATTACTCTGTTGAGAGGGGGCCTTGCATATGCCAGGCAC